TGTAATCCCAAATATAACATTTGTTAGTTGAGTACAGAGCAGACCCTTCACGTCAGTGGATTCAACAACGGCTGGAGAGGTAACACGGTGACACCGTTTTATGTGACCCCATTACGTTATGATACAACACAGAGATAGCACCGTTTGAATTCTTCACGTATCACTATTACTCCATTTTGCCTCATATCTCGGTCCTTATCTCAGCGCCCACGCTCTGACAGGGGTCGGAACCTTTTATTGCACTCTGACTTAACAAGAACTAAGGACGGGCGCACGTTTCATTGGCAAGGTTTCACCTGTGCTATTTGACACGCACACTGTCGCTATGACACGTGAATCAGTCAGTCGTGAGTGAGTGAGTGAGTTAGGTTTAACGCCGCTTTTAACAGTATTCCAGTTACATCACGGCGTGTCAGCTTAATGTGGGAGGAAAGCCCGAAGTGATGCAAGTTTCAGACGTTTACCACTTTGGTGAAACCCATGAGGACGGGTATGGTGCTGACAAACCTAGAAACATAATCGGGGCGAATCTGGATTCGAACACACAATTATGGGTTTCTGGCGTGCCCAAGGGACGCAACTCTGCACAGCGAATCGCGGCGCCTTAGACGACTGTGCCACCCGTGCCCCCAAATCAGTCAGTATCTAGCTAGGTTTAAACCTATGTGATTTAAAGACATATTGCTATGTATTTCTGCTATTTCACACCCGCATGTGATATTCTTGAAGAAGTTGGTTATTTGTAAGGCATCGCGTCTTAATTGCTGCGCAGAGTTCTGTCCCTTAGCAGCGACTGGATCCGATGATCCTCACTTACCCTTCACCCTATCTCAGTCGTGTACCAGTACACTGGTCTGTGATATGGAGCGTCTGCCCATCGGTGGTTTGATTCGCCAAATGACGTTTAAAGTCGGTAATTGTTGTTTCCCAGCCTGTCACTCGGCAATAAGGGGATACAATCTACACACCGATTTCATAGTGCTAGCTCACTGAGACACAGTATACTGACTCCGAGCCGACCAGTCCTTGTTTCAGGCCCTTAATATCCAGCACGATTTCATAGTGCTAGCTCACTGAGACACAGTATACTGACTCCGAGCCGACCAGTCCTTGTTTCAGGCCCTTAATATCCAGCACCAGCCAAGATAACAACAAGTACCATCTTTTAACCTCTGTTAGTACGACGTGGCCGGGGATCGAACCTCGACCTTCCGCTCTCTAGGCAGACGCTCTACCACTTGACCACGGAGGCGGTATAACTAAAGTAGAAATTGCATTCATTCGTTTTCAAACATCAATGAAATATATATATATATATATATATATATATATATATATATATATATATATATATATATATATATATATATATATATGGCGCTGATGCATCCTCTACGCTTCTGGCTTTGTTATTAGTTGTGTAACGCCACACTCATCAATATTACCGCTGTGTGACGGTGGTCTGTAAAAAATCAGGTCAAGACCAGACAGTCCAGTGATCGACATAATGAGCATCGGTCTACTCAATTGGGATATGATAACATGCATCAACCAAGTCAGCGAGCCTGACCAGCCGATCCCGTTAGTCGCCTCTTACGACAAGCATAGTCGCCTCTTAGACAAGCATGGGTTTCTGAAGACCTATTGTAACACTGAATGTTCACGCGACAACGTCCCATGTATAGCGATCAATGGAGTTAGTGTTGTGTGACAGGGGTAAGCATTATATGCATGATGTGAGAATCAGCCAGAAATGACCCAGATAAACATGTTCATCTCTTGGAATACAACCCAAACAAGGATTATAATTAGCGGAATCTGGACCAGGGACCCAGCATTGTTCTGATAAAAATGTCATACCCTGACGCGCTGGTTTCATAGACTTGCATTACTTCGGGTTTTCCTCCCACATGATGATCAAGTTGGCTTATTGTAACATTATAACTGAAATATTGTTCAAAGCGGCGTAAAACTAAACTTACTCACTCACCCATTCAAGTACACAGTCATGTGTCTTGGGGTATTAAATAGTAATGTTTTGTGTCGAAAGTCAAAATCAATTTTGTTTGTTTGGAGAAAATCAATTTATAAAAAAACATAACATTTGATATGCAATATTTTCTAAAATATAGATATTCTCCTTTCAAATGGCAGGTGTTTTATCGATCATGTTTATTACAAAAATGTGAAGAGGCCATCGGCCCATTCACACACGTATTAAAGACACGTCATATTGGAGAGAGACGGTAATACATTCTATGTAAGTTCAATTTACATTGTCTCAAGAACAATATATACTGAACCGCAAAAGAAACTTCACCATGGATAGATATATGAGAAACCTTATTTGTCCAAACACTGTAAACGTACTTTGAGACATATCAAAAAGATGAAAGCTACTTTATTGTCTACCAACTGTTGTATTCCAAGCAGCAAAAATTGATAAAATTAATTGGCCTTCAAAAGTAAAAAAATTCTGCGAGAGTTGGCTATATATGAGATACAACAATTGGGAGACAATACAGTAGCATTTATCTTAGGATTCGTATTTCGTGTGAAGGCAACACAGGAGCAAGACTGCCATGGTGCCATTCGTGACCAACTCGTCTTATTCCGGGACAAGCCGAATAGCGACTCGTGCCCCTCTCGTTGCCATTTTTGCGACCGGGTTCCGTCTTAGCGCAAACGGGCATACCTAAAACAATTGTCAATTCGTTGCGTAATGGTTCACATATATTTCCCCATATATTATATATATCTCAGATGCATTCTAAAACGCATCGGGGCGTGCGGAATTATACAGTTTGATTGAACACATTTAACTGTGTCTTGGGTATATTTTTAGATGCAAGACATATGTAAAATCAAAAATTATTTCTGAGGGATTCTCTGACGAAGTACTTGAAATCATACGCGCATTCTGATTGGTTTGTCGTATTTTCGCACATAACATTCATCGATAGGGGGACGAGTCTTCTTGCAGGTGACGGAAAGGGGCGAGTGGTGACGAATGCCATGGTGAGCTCCTTCAGCATTCGTGACCAACTCGTGTTATTCCGGGACAAGCCGAATATAGCGACTCGTGCCCCTCTCGTGGCCATTTTTGCAACCGGGTTCCGTCTTAGCGCAAACGGGCATACCTAAAACAATTGTCAACTCGTTGCGCAATGGTTCACATATATTTCCCCATATATCATTTATATTTCAGATGCAATTAAAAGCACATCAGGACATGCGAAATTATACAGTTTGATTGAACACATTTAACTGTGTCTTGGGTATATTTTTAGATGCAAGACATATGTAAAATCAAAAATTATTTCTGAGGGATTCTTTGACGAAGTACTTGAAATCATACGCGCATTCTGATTGGTTTGTCGTATTTTCGCACATAACATTCATCGATAGGGGGATGAGTCTTCTTGCAGGTTACGGAAAGGGGCGAGTGGTGACGAATGCTCCTTCGGGGCACCGAAACAAATAGTTGCTCCCTTTATGCACTATCCTTCTCCTCGGAATTATATCTTATGGCTCTTTCAAAATGTACAGAAACCCTGCAGTTCACACCAATTAAAAAAAGAAAGACGACATATATTCGACAACCAAGAGAACTGCGAGTGTGTGAATTATGTAATTGTAACACTATTGAAGATTGTTATCATTTGTAATGCTTATTATGTCATAAGTACAATATATTAGTCAAGGATTTTTTTCTCACACATTTCGTTATAAATTTAATCAGTTAATGTGTTCCTCTGATCCATGTACAATTAGAAATCTTGCAATATAAATATATAAATATCTTGCTATATAGACCAATTGTTGCATCTCATATATAGCCAAATCTCCAGAAACGAGAATATATTTTAATTTTGAAGCCCAATTAATTTTACCAATTTACGCTGCTTAAACATCATATTATGACACTTTTTACATATCTACCTTCAGACATGCGTAAGATACTGCACCAATATTTTAAAACATGTTTGTACGTATAAACATACAGACATTCTCCTCTTGCAACATGATTTGAAGTGGCATCCTTCACTTGTAACAAGCGTTTACAGGCATAAACGCGAACATTTTCAACACCCAACACTTCAGACCCATAAAGCTGACTCGTGCATCAAATTTTAAAAAAACAAAACGTATCTAATGGGATAGGGTTTAGAATACACAGTGACTTAAAAATACCATACAATGCTTTATTGGCTTGTAGTGAAACATTTGCAATATTTTTCGACCATGTCAATGTCTTCGAGAAGATGGCTGCAAGATATTTGTTGTATGAAAGATTATCAACTTTCGAACCTTTGTAATACCACTTTTCGTGTAAAATACCCCCATTTTTCAATGTCACAGATTTTGTTTTTTTTCAAGATTTACAGTCAAATGATAGTCAGACTCGTTATTATGAGTTAAACTTCAGGGGCGATGGGGTAGCTTAGTGGTTAAAGCGTTCGCTCCTAACGCCGAAGGTCCGCTTTCGAATCCCTACAAGGTTATATTGTGTGACGCCCATTGCTGGTTTCCACCGTCGTGAAGTTGGTAAAGGCGGCGTAAAATCATACTCATTTATTCATTCAGTTGACATCAGCTCTGACATAAGTGTTTCACATAATTCACTTGTGTCGGACTGGTCGGCGACTGATGTCGCCCCGTGTCAGACTGGTTATATGCAGGGGCTGCAAAGGTTCCGAGTCCACCGGATTATACGACTTTAAAAAATGGAATTCACAACGCTTCAATACAGACCGCACCCGGTTTCATGTGTTCTACGGATATTTACAAGATAGATTCAGTTTGGCTTGTCTCAAAGAGATATATGAAAACACCTTGCCACAAATTAAGATTGCGCGCGGGTTCCCGTCATCCCCGCAGCTGAAGCACGCAAGTCGCTCTGCCCTGCTCCTTCGGCAAGATGCTTGATAAAGTAGATCACGTTCCTGTAAGTCGGCGTGATGCTGAAATGCTATTTTTGAGAAGGAGGTTTATGGGTGTAGCATCCTTCCCCCCTAATATAGGGGTTTCACATAGAATGCCGTCAACTAGAACCTGCTCAGACATGGCCGGGCAAGTGTTGTTGTGCCTCACGGGTAAGCAGAGAGAGTTTTTTTCACAATTTCGTCAAGGATTGTAATCATTTCAAATCTTTAACATTTTAAATTATTAAATTATTCTTAATTTATCTATCATATGCGATATTAGTTGCTCAAACCTTTGTTTAAAAACATGTTATAATTTCCGTGGTAAAATCATAATAATTTTTTGTGTGTTTGTGGAGGCGCATTTCGCGCCCTAAAACACCTTTTTCTGAACATATTTGTAATTTAGGCAGCCGCAGTGTTCACGATGAAGCTCATATTTTTAGTTACCTGTGGTACCACTCTGATATAAGATCGAGGTGTTCACCAAACCACTTGAGTTAATCCAGTGATTGTCGACATGACTCCAGTTCATCAATCCGCCTTTTTATACAGCGTGAAGAGTTACCGTTAGTTCTTGCGCTGCTGTGAACATCATGTTTAAGTGTAGGAAAAGTCATGCGTTCTTACGCTATTAATACACTCATTTGAACTGAATTATGAGGTTGTGATATCTGGTCATTACGCTACGACTCCAGTTTTGACAACATTGATAAAATATTGTTCGCCCCACTGTTGAGGTAAGCCAATTCTAAGCATTGTAGTTTTCATTGTAGTTAAGTGAATAAGATTCTTCACTTAACCCTCGCGTGACTAGTCAGACTAACGCTTAGTCTCTGAAATATATATAATTTTGACAGAAACAAACCAATCTGTAGTTGTACAATCCTACTTGTGATCAGGGCGGTCGGGTAGCCTAGTGGTTAAAGCGTTCGCTCGTCACGCTAAAGACCCGGGTTCGATTCCCGACATGGGTACAATGTGTGAAACCCATTTCTGGTGTCCCCCGCCGTGATATTGCTGGAATATTGCTAAAAGCGGCGTAAAACCAAACTCACTCACTCACTAACTACTTGTGATCAAGGATTATTGAGCCAACTCACCAAACGCCTTAACACAGGCAGGCGGTACACAGAATTGGGGCATACATATTTGACGATGAAATTGTTAGTCATAAGATTATAAAGCGATCGTTGTGACAAGTCGATACAAAACCTATAAAAGTCGATGATAGAAGTTAATTACAAACGAATAAGAATGGCAGATCTAGGTAAGCATGGCCAAATCATACATTCTCAGGTTCGGGAATTGGCCAATGATGTCATAAATTATATGGAGAAAGAATGTACAAATATATCTCCATCATTGTCAAAAGCTAGTATTGGCACTGGTCTGTCTGTTTATACGTATCGGAACAGAAGGTATCGCATGTGACAAAGGCGAGAGTCTCATGAGCCCAAGTAAGTCGCGAAATCGTCCAGTGATCAAATTCCAACAATTTCGACCAGTTCGCTGTTCGACAACTTGTACCCAATTCGTATGTAGTGCGAAAACAGCTTCCAACTCTAGACATGTCTATGACATGATCAAAAGTGTTTTTAATTATGAGGTTCTAGATAAAACATATGGGATATAGATGGTGTAAAACGCAGTCAAATCGCAAGGTGTTAATGGAACGGAAATATATTTGTTGCAAAGCGCATGCAGTAATTATGTGCAATACAAAAGGACCGAGACGAGAACCGGCCAGTCATCATGAAACGTAGTTGCATGTGGACAACACTGCTCCAAAATGCTGGCAGTTTTAGGGGTGATATGGCAATACAAAAGGACCGAGACGAGAACCGGCCAGTCATCATGAAACGTAGTTGCATGTGGACAACACTGCTCCAAAATGCTGGCAGTTTTAGGGGTGATATGGCAATACAAAAGGACCGAGACGAGAACCGGCCAGTCATCATGAAACGTAGTTGCATGTGGACAACACTGCTCCAAAATGCTGGCAGTTTTAGGGGTGATATGGCAATACAAAAGGACCGAGACGAGAACCGGCCAGTCATCATGAAACGTAGTTGCATGTGGACAACACTGCTCCAAAATGTTGGCAGTTTTAGAGGTCATATGGCAATACAAAAGGACCGAGACGAGAACCGGCCAGTCATCATGTAACGTAGTTGCATGTGGACAACACTGCTCCAAAATGTTGACAGTTTTAGGGGTGATATGGCAATACAAAAGGACCAAGAGGAGAACCGGCCAGTCATCATGTAACGTAGTTGCATGTGGACAACACTGCTCCAAAATGTTGGCAGTTTTAGGGGGGATATGAGAATACAAAAGGACCAAGAGGAGAACCGGCCAGTCATCATGTTACGTAGTTGCATGTGGACAACACTGCTCCAAAATGTTGACAGTTTTAGGGGTGATATGGCAATACAAAAGGACCAAGAGGAGAACCGGCCAGTCATCATGTAACGTAGTTGCATGTGGACAACACTGCTCCAAAATGTTGGCAGTTTTAGGGGGGATATGAGAATACAAAAGGACCAAGAGGAGAACCGGCCAGTCATCATGTTACGTAGTTGCATGTGGACAACACTGCTCCAAAATGTTGACAGTTTTAGGGGTGATATGGCAATACAAAAGGACCAAGAGGAGAACCGGCCAGTCATCATGTAACGTAGTTGCATGTGGACAACACTGCTCCAAAATGTTGGCAGTTTTAGGGGGGATATGGCAATAGGTGGGAGCAGCATCGTTGTCAAACGTGGTCTGACGAGTGGATCAGATACAGAAACAGCATCAAAATATGAAGACTAGTGATTATCCAGTTATCTCAATATAAATCCAACTAGCAATATTACTCCAGGGTAAAATAAAGTATTCCACTTTTACAGCAAATCAATTCCTTTCATAGTCGCGATTCTTCTCAACTGTTGTTACCTAAGTGAGTGAGTGAGTATGGTTTTACGCCGCTTTTAGCAATATTCCAGAAAATATCACGGCGGCGGACACCAGAAATGGGCTTCTCGCATTGTACCCATGACGGGAATCGAACCCGGGTCTTCGGCGTGACGAGCGAACGCTTTAACCACTAGACTACGTTGTAACCTAAGGAAAGGTTCAGTCACATTTTACACAGTCATCGGGTATCTTACATCCCGTCGTACTGTCATTTGTTTTTGGACTCGCCACGAGTTGTTAGCCATGACAGGACACGCACATATCCATCGTACCACTTGCCAGGGACCACCCGTTACCCCTACCTTTCCAATGGTACGCGCCAGTGGGTGGACCTTAACATAGTCGTACCGGGTTAGTTGTCAGGTCAGAACTCAATTTATCCTGAGTGACACAGAGATAACCCAAACAAAGAAACAGAGTGACAAGTGATGATAGGGGATGTCGCCTATAGCAGCAACAGCTGTAACCCGCAGGTAGTTTGGTTGTGTATAAACAGCGTGTTGATGCCATGTAACTTGACTAGTTGACCATCACAAGGGTATCATCTTGCACCTCTTGTTTTGAGCAGTCGAAAGGGGAATAGCCATTACATGAGTGACCCGATTGTAGTTGGTGAAGTGATGGGTGTGGCGTTCAAGATTACTGCGCTCATATAGCGACGTGCATGTAATGTGTGTGTGGTTTTCTTTCTGCTCGTATTAGTCTGGACTGATGCCGGTTTATAGTGCTGGCCCACTGAGATACCATGCAACAGTGAACATGGATACCCCTCTCGGACACTGTATACTGACTCAAATCCTTGTTTTATCTCCCTTGTCGAACGGTAGGCAGGGAAACAACAAGTAATCTCTCTTAGCGACCTTCCGCTCCCCGTCTTGACGCTGTATCTACTGGCCCACAGTGGTCTGTGGTGATGGGGAGATGAGAACATTACCCTGGCATCTGTTGATGGTGGCGTGCAATACATTTAGTTGTACCAGTATCAGTATTAAAAGAATAAACAAGTTGAAATCCTGAAGTCAACTCGGCTTTCATTACACTTATTACGTGTCGATTCACAAATTGAACCACCATGTTAAACCAGAAATCTGTACATGAACGAACTTAGTGAAACCAAGCAACAACCACCAAGTGGCCTACAATCAACAAACAGTAGAACAAACAAGCTGAAATCCTCAAGTGAACTCTGTTTTCATTTCACTAAATAAACTGCTGGGCAAAAGAAACTAAACTGGGCGGCAAAAGAAAATATAGGTCGAGTTCCATGATCGATAAAAAAATAACAAGAAGAGGTTTTGTTGTGAATCATAATAAAATCTAGGGAGGGGTAACAAATGATCAACCACAGTTTGAATGCAATCACAGGTAATGTAAGCTCAAGGTCAACAATGGTGGGGTAAGAAATTTCATTTTCAAAAGTTGTCTGAAATGTCACCAAAAAATTGTCAGACACACTACAAGTTCATTGTCGACACAGTTGCCTTCAATAGCGTGTATGACCTCCAGCTGCCTCAATGCATGATGTGATACGCCGCCTCATCGATGACGTCAGTCTTCTGATGACGTGGACTGGAATCCGTTGCCACTCGTCTCTCAGGGCCTGCTGCAATTCTTGTCTGTTGACGGGAGGCTGATGGCGTGCTCTAATCTGTGTGTCAAGATGGTCCCACAGATGTTCAATAGGATTCATATCGGGTGAGTGGGCAGGCCAGGGCAAAACGTCAACGTTCTGCTGGTTTAGAAAGTACCGAGTCAGTCTTGCAGTATGTCCCCATCGCCGTTACGAATCTGTTTTGCAGGTGAATGAGCCGTATCTGACCGTCTTCCAGTGGTGTTGTCACTCGGGGTCGTCCGGTTCTAGGCCTGTCCTGTGTCCTCCCTGTCTGTCTGTACCGTTGAATCAACCTGGCTACTGTCAATGGTGTACAACCAAACCTTCTGGCAATTTGGACCTGTGTTGCCCCTATTTCGGCCATACCGATGGCTCTCTTTCTCTGCTCCTGTGACAGCCGTGGCATTTCTTTTGTGGACTTTCATCACGCGCGGTTATACCCTGCAGACGAACGCATTTATACAGCTAACATGCACGTGCAGTTTATGCCATAGGCGGGAACCTGTTTCACCATTTCTTTTGTCACCGCACGAGCGCCGTCAAAGGTGGCGCGTTCGGGTTAGGTGTTTTTTGGTACCTGTCCCTGGGCAATCATATTCCTAATACCCACTTTCCACTAGTTATCGCTGTTTTTAGGAAAATTACAAATTGCCAACCTATACTTCCTTCTGCGCTTAGTTTATACGTCCATGGTTGGTGGTGTCTAAAACAAAAGAAACAAGAACTTGTTATTCGATGGTACGTGGAATGTAGGTGATACAGGTAACATGGGCGATATTACACCCATCATATCAGTGTCTCTCTGACAACAGGTCAGCCTAGTAACGTGTTGTTAACATTTGTAACTGTTTGATCAAATCCAATTTTCAAGTGTATTCTCTCACAGCCCGGCAGGTAATATTAATGAGGTATACGTGTCTAATATATTGGGGGACACGGGTGGCCCAGTCGTTTAAGGCACCGCAAGTTGCTGTGCAGAGTTGCGTCCCTTGGGCACAGAAACCTATGATTGTGGGTTCGAATCCAGGTTCGCCCCAATAATGTTTCTAGGTTTGTCGGCACCATACCCGTGCTCGTTAGTTTCACAAGGTTGTAAATTTCAGAGACCTGCATCACTTCGGGCTTCCCTCCCACCTAAAGCTGACACGTCATGCTGTACTGAAATACACCAAACTCACTCACTCACTCACTCACTCACTCACTCACATGCATGTCATCGTTTCCCAATTGCGAAGATCGATGATTATGATGTCAATCACTGTACTGACTGGTCCAGACTCGATTATTTACAGACCGCCATCATATAGCTGGAATTTAGCTGAGTGCGGCTTTAAACAACAAGCTTATAAACCAACCCTCAATCTAAGATATGGACAGTTTTAGACCTCTGAACGCGCAATTGTTTGGGATGTCGCTATATGTTGTGGGATCATGGTCTCTATTTATGTGTGTAGATACAACACGTGTAAACTTTGTTCCGTGGAGGTTGTAAACACATTTCTAGACACGTTCAGCGCTAATTATTTCTTGTATGTGCGGCAGGATCCGCAGACCTGGTATCATAACGATGTGGTTCCTAAACATATAGTCAGAATCGTACACTGGACAATGTTTACAGCAGAGATTTCTTACAAACATTTTATGTCGCTGTTATTTCACATCAAAGTTCATTTTTACCGCGTATTGGAATATATACACTTGGTAAACAAATGTCAATTTATGATAGGGCACATATGAGTGTAACCATGGTAACTGTACAAAATAATGAAAACCTTTTTCTCTAAATTCTAATTTCAGTCCTTCTGGCCTGTTGTGCAGGAGCGCCTTCCGTTGATAGGAGCAGTGAGTCAGGTAATTGTACATGCACTGTTTTATTACTAGAAACAACTGTCACGACCCTTATCTGTACAGACGATTTGGTTTTGCGCCTCTTTCAGCACTATTCCAACCATGACACACCGGGGTCACGGGGAATGGTCGTGTTCGAAAGCGGAGAATTGTACCCGGCCCCATCGGTGTGACGACTTAACGCTTCGCCCCGTGAAGATCCGCTTTAGAAATTTTCTTCAGCAACTCATGCTTGTAAGAAACGACTAACGGGATCGGGTGGTCAGGCTCGCTGACTTGGTTGGTACATGTCATCGTATCCCAATTGCGTAGATCGATGCTCATGATGTCAATCACTGGTTTGTCTGGTTCGTCATACAGCTGGAATATTGCTGAGTGCGGTGGTAAACAGCAGACTCACTTAACGCTTTATACATTCTGATATCCCAGTCCCTTTATTCCATCAGAGCAAGTCTCTCTCTCTCTCTCTCTCTCTCTCTCTCTCTCTCTCTCTCTCTCTCTCTCTCTCTCTCTCTCTCTCTCGGTGCCACGTAACGATTTTCCACTGTCTGATATTCCAGGTCACTCCTGCTACCACTGCACAGATGCCTCGAACAACACTGAATGTCAACATCTTACACGATGTCTCCATAGCCAGGTAGGACGTCCTTGCCATATATCTCCCTAGCCACATCTCTCGCTATTCACATGCCTCCCTAGCCACATCTCTCGCTATTCACATGCCTCCCAATTCACATTTCTCCCTAGCCACATCTCTCGCTATTCACATGCCTCCCTAGCCACATCTCTCGCTATTCACATGCCTCCCAATTCACATTTCTCCCTAGCCACGTCTCTCGCTATTCACATGCCTCCCTATTCACATCTCACCCTAGCCACGCCTCTCCCTATTCACACGTCTCCCTATTCACATCTATCCCTAGCCACATGACTCCCTAATCAAATCTCTCCCTAGCTACATCTCTCCCTAGCCACGTGTCTCCCTTTTCACATCTCACCCCAGTCACATCTCTCCCTAACCACATCTTATCCTATTCACATCTCTCCCCAGTCACATCTCTCCCTAGCCACATCTTATCCTATTCACATCTCTCCCTAGTCACATCTCTCCCCAGTCCCATCTCCCCCTAACCACATCTTATCCTATTCACATCTCTCCCTAGTCACATCTCTCCCTTTTCACATCTCTCCCTATTCACATCTCTCCCTATTCACATCTCTCCCTTTTCACATCTCCCCTTTGCCACATGTCTCCCCACTCAGGCCGGGCACGCACGTAACATCCATACGGTGTTGCCTGTTTTACGTTTAGATATTATTAAGACTTCACATGGCCGTCAGACGCAAGAACTCTTGATGAAATAGTTACTGGTTAGTTCACGAGGACTCGAACTCGCCAGGACAAAGATAAGGCACCGTGGTCCGAGTGGATTGATCTACTTATATATAAAACGCCAACCCCAGACACGTGGCGTGGCCCAGACATGGCCTACATACAAAGAACCTTTGCACCTGACATGTGTACACAACCATATCGTGATATCCATGGTTTAAAAGACATTCAAGAACTTTGTACTTATCGGTCAGAACACTGTATGAATCGTGACGTGACGCACGTGATATATTTCCCCTGTGTCTTTGGCACGTGCAAATCGCTCATAAGCGAATCTGTTTTTAAAATGAGAGGAGAGGGAGGTGACTTTTTTGCAAGTGTATATACAATTTCTATTGGACAAACTCGAGCACATTTATCGATCACATAAATATCGTTTGCCCAGGGTGATGGTCCAAGTATGAGAGGAAATAGCACTGATCAGGCTTCCGTCCCACAAAGCGCTCTTAGCGCTACGACTATTATAAGCCTGGGTTAAAGTATGGGGGTTACGATCACCTTAGCGCTACGACTATTATAAGCCTGTGTTAAAGTATGGGGGTTACGATCACCTTAGCGCTACGACTATTATAAGCCTGTGTTAAAGTATGGGAGTTACGATCACCTTAGCGCTACGACTATTATACGCCTGTGTTAAAGTATGGGAGTTACGATCACCTTAGCGCTACGACTATTATAAGCCTGTGTTAAAGTATGGGGGTTACGATCACCTTAGCGCTACGACTATTATAAGCCTGTGTTAAAGTATGGGGGTTACGATCACCTTAGCGCTACGACTATTATAAGCCTGTGTTAAAGTATGGGGGTTACGATCACCTTAGCGCTACGACTATTATAAGCCTGTGTTAAAGTATGGGGGTTACGATCACCTTAGCGCTACGATCGCTTTGTGGAACGGGGCACGGGAAAGGCGTAATTTAACGAAAAGCTTCTAAATCACACGTACTTTTAATGTACAGAATACCGCACGGCAACAACTGACCCACACGCCTGTCATAAACAGATCTAGGTTTACTATTCGTCTTGTTGTTGGTAAATATATGATTGTTGAGGACACACTTTTTCCGCCATGTCGCCGTTGTAGAAAAATACATTTATTAGCCTTCGATGCGGACTTTCCAGGTTCGAATCTCACGGGAGACACGTGAAAGGATTCTATTATCAAGGTACATTAAAAGCGAACATGAAGTTTCGTCATTGCGAAATGGTGTCTAACTGGAAGTCTAGTTAGCTGATGCTCAATCAAAGACAGTGAGTGAGTGAGAGAATGAGTATGGTTTTACGCCGCTTATAGCAATATCACGGCTAGGGACACCAGAAATGGGCTTCACACATTGTACCCATGTCCGGAATCGAACCCGGGTCTTCGGCCTGACGAGCGAACGCTTTAACCACCAGGCTACAAACCCCCCCCCCCCCCCCCCCCCCCCCCCCCCTTACAAACACCTCAAACTGTCCTCTTCACAGACAGTGCCTGCCGCAGTCCATTAGGCAGCAGGTTCATTTTGACCTGACTGTAGATTGTTCAAGGGAATATTGCGTGTTTAATGTAACCTTAGTTCATCATGTCCTGTCCTGACGTGTTTGTAAATAGATAATACATGTGTATATGATACACGATAGTCAAGGTGGGCAGAGATGTGTTTGTTAATAGTTTATATATGATACACGATAGTCAAGGTGGGCAGAGATGTGTTTGTTAATAGTTTATATATGATACACGATAGTCAAGGTGGACAGAGATGTGTTTGTTAATAGTTTATATATGATACACGATAGTCAAGGTGGGCAGAGATGTGTTTGTTAATAGTTTATATCTGATACACGATAGTCAAGGTGGGCAGTGATGTGTTTGTTAATAGTTTATATATGATACACGATAGTCAAGGTGGGCAGTGATGTGTTTGTTAATAGTTTATATATGATACACGATAGTCAAGGTGGGCAGAGATGTGTTTGTTAATAGTTTATATATGATACACGATGGTCAAGGTGGGCAGTGATGTGTTTGTTTATAGTTTATATATGATACATGATAGTCAAGGTGGGCAGAGATGTGTTTGTTAATAGTTTATATATGATGCATGATAGTCAAGGTGGACAGTGATGTGTTTGTTTATAGTTCATATATGATACATGATAGTCAAAGTGAAAGGTCAATTTCGACAAACAATAATATAAGAAAGATTATGTGCCCAAAATATCTTCGAATAACAACTTTGAATAGCATTGAGAAGTGATGCACATGGGAGAGAATTTATGGATGTAAACTTCTTTATTATGAGGAAAAAACGTTCAGGGTATACGCATACTCCTTCATCAGGTGAGTGAATGCTAGGATGCAGAGAGTATGTATGTGTACATATAAATAAAGCGACATGACCCTTTCCATATCCAATAGAAATCTCTACATAAAGCAGAGTTGATTGTACAACTCCGACTATAGCATGAACATGTGTTTATAAATCACTATAAATGATCACAGTAATGATCTCATTAATCAGATAGCAAAGGTGGAAACGTAACAAGACTAGCCAGAAGTTAATTAGACTGATTGGAAACAAACAATGGACTAATAGAAGGCAGGGGTAAATTGACAGTGACTGGTAATTAGCAATGGATACATGGAAGCTGCATGGATTTATTAGCCTTGATGGTGGGATAATGCGACAGATAGATGGTGGCACAGATTTATTAAATCCGTAAGTCCCACGCACAGATTTAGATGTTCCACAGATTTAGATGTTTCCGGGTCACGGTTCATGGGTGACCGGTATATTCTAATGTCAGTGGATTCTTTTTATTTCCTTGAAGCTATTTGTTGTTTTTGGTGGTCAGTTCGGTGTGTTCGGAAATTGTGGAATTCTGGTCTAGTTTGTTGACATAGGTCGGATGTTCTCTTGAGTCTGGTGTTGAGTGGTCTAAAGGTTTCTGCAGAGAATTTGCAGAGGAATTGGTATATACATTCCCTGGGGTTTTGAGTTGTGTTGCTGATGCCTCTGCCATTGGCTCGTAGATGGGTCTTGTAGTTCTTGCCGATGGAAAAGGTGACATCTTTGCTGGCTTTGTCTTGGTGAGGCTAGACATCTGATGACTGAGAGGGCCTTGGCATGGTATAGTGATTCTTATGGGCGATGGGGCAGGTGTGGATCTGGGCTCGGAGTTCCTGAGTGTCTCTTTGATGGTTTTAGAGACTAGGTGGGCAGGATAACTGTTGAGGGAAGTGAAGGTTTTCTTGTGATGGGTCAGTTGGCTGCTGATGGCATCAGGATGGCAAACGGATTTGTCACGTCGGGTCGGGTGAGGGTGGCGATGCTGGCTTGTTTTATCTGGGAATGGTGACAGGAGTTGTAGTGGATGTACTATTCTGTGTGTGTTGACTTGCGGCAAACTGATGTCATCACTCCATCATGTATAGTTTGGAGGGACACGTCAAAGGAGCAGGGGGTGAGGTTGATGATACTGGCTATGGCTATGAGTTTGGTGTCTAGGTCGTCAGTTCTGGTTTGGAGCTTGTTGCAGAGGATGGCTTCTTGTATATGGATGTTGGTGAAGAGGTCGATGCCGTCATAGCTGACTATGGTGCTTGTGAAGTTTGTTTCCTTTAGCTGATTGACGAAATAAGAGGAATCGCTGATGTAGGACTTGTCACATTTGCCTACGGGAGACGGTAGAAGTACTTGCCCGTTCTGGAACAGATGAGTATTCTGCCTTTTGGCGGGTTCGTGCGGATGTCGACTGTTGTTCTTGCATAACGGGCTTGGGAATTAAAGTGGTTCAACTGGTTGACGACGGTGTCATTTATTCCTTTTTCTGGTGGAGGTATTTCATTGTCTTCTTATGAAGACGTTCTAGGTTTGTTTGCTGTGGGGTCTTTCTTGATAGTGAAGTGGGTGGTCGTGTCAGAGAGGGTATTGTTGTCAAGCTGAAGAACATCTTGGGTTTTCATGGCTACTTTACCATTATCAACTTTTGTTATGGTGATGGTGTTATTTTTCCGAAATTCAGTCATGACATGTCTCTCTTTGGTGGTGAGGTTTTGGCGTGGTTTGGGGGGCTTTCTTGATAGGTGTCTATAATCTGATGGCGGAGGTAGCCGACATAAGGGTTTGAAGCCAATTGTTGGAGGGTCTTCTGGAAAGGGTCAGGTTTGGCAATACTTTCAAGATGTGATCTTGTCAAAATCTGCGACTGAAGGTGGGCCTTTTGTCTGCTAAATTGCTGGATCTGATGTTGGACTACCAGCCAGGCACGAACCATGACGAGTGCATCTAACCAGTGCTTGGGACTTATTGATTTATTTCATCTGTGCCACAATCCATCTGTGCCACCATCCATCTGTGCCACCATCTATCTGTGCCACCATCCTTCTATCTTGCTCTCACTCGGGAAATACAAGAACTAATTTCGTAAAATCAGTATAACACACATTCTCGCATAACAATATATATCTATGGTACAGTGTTAAATGACTGAAATGTTCATTTTGGCAATTTACAAAACACCATAATATTTCAGTCATTTTACAATTATTTTCCTGTCAGATTGACTAAAAGTTATTACAAAGTTCAAGAGGGCTTCAAATGTCACAATAGGTAAATTATGTTTTGATAAGAAGCCAAAAATTAAAAAAAATTCACATTGACTTTCGTTTTCTTCTGTCATATCATGTTCAGTCAACGGGTGATGAATTAGAGTATACAATGTTTGGAATTCGTCATCATAATATAATACATGGTAACATAATTTTTAAATGACAGAAATATATAGGAGTTTTGTAAATTGCCAAAGTGAAAATTTGAGTCAGTTTTCACATTGACTGTAACATATATAATGCCTGTGTCTGTACATATTGGCCTGATTTACTGATAGAAGCGTCAGTAAATGGTCTCGCTGTATGATGTACGTTGGAAGGCCAGAAGTTCAGGGTAAAATTGACTTTTTTTAGCAGATTGAAACGTTGATCCGAATAAAAGTCACAGGAAATGAGAAAGTGGATTCCATTTTCCTCAACTTTGACAGATCTCAATACTTTTTAGAGACGATGCCATACAAATCGCCAAACTTTTTTTTTGCACCGTCTTGTGACCCGGCTAACGCGAGGTCAGCCCGTTTGTGTTGTCTCATGATTGGTTAATCTAAACACGTTCTAATAGTATTATGCAATCAGAGTTAGCGTTTCGTTTCGTGCATTGGTTGTTCAGGACCTGTTCGAGGGTGTAATCTAATATTAAATTAAACATTTGCATCACTACAACACAGACCTACATCTTAAACAAGCTGCTGCTAGCTTTCGAAAAACACACATGATAAGAATTATAAATATATTCGCGTGATCAGCTTACGTCACCATATTCACTTATGCTGCTTGACGACACAGTTGTTGCTCAACTCAACTTAACCCGAAAGTAGGTGTGTATTGAGAGTGGAGCCAGATATAGAATCAAGAGATAACGAATCTGTTAACTAACAAAGTGGGATTGTGTAATTGGAGACTATTCTACGAGCTACGAGGAATTCCGGATTATCTGTCCCGAGTTAATTAATTCTAAGTTTTAATTAAGTTCTTGTGTAGATACGACGTCATCTTCAAATGCGTTCATATAATAACCTTATGATTGGCCTCTTTGGAAAAGATGACTTTAATAGAACAATTAGAGCCAACTAGCAAACCAGCATGAGGCATACAATATAATACTACTACATCCCGCCCATATGGGTTATGCATGGGACAGTTATATTCAAACTAGGTGAATAAAATGGGTTTATCTTCGCATGATTATGTCACTTATTAAGCAATGGGCATGTGTGTGTGTGTGTGTGTGTGTGTGTGTGTGTGTGTGTGTGTGTGTGTCTGTGTGTGTCTGTGTGTGTGTGTGTGTGTGTGTGTCTGTGTGTGTCTGTGTCTGTGTGTGTGTGTGTGTGTGTGTGTGTGTGTGTGTGTGTGTGTGTGTGTGTGTGTGTGTGTGTGTGTGTGTGTGTGTGTGTGTGTGTGTGTGTGTGTGTGGCTCCTTGTACAAGAAGACCAAAGGCATGAAGGTGTGTAGTGCTGCCTTTCTGAGATTCCATGTCGCAGCGTAAAATGAATAATGAATAATACCCCACGTAGACACAGCATACTGACTCCGCGTCGTCCAGTACTTTATCCTCTTATGATGAGCAACAGACTGGGTGAAAAACAGTTCCATCTTTTAACATCGTTTAGAACGACGCGACCAGGGGATCGAACCCCCAACCCCGCTCCCCGGGCCCATGCTCTACCCACTACACCACGGAGGATCCGCGTATTTAAACTAGAAAGCACTGACACTTAAAATGTCCCTATTGTTACGTCTCGATTCCCAAATTGAAACTCCGAAATCTGTACGTAAAAGAACTTAGTGTGAAACCAAGAAACAACCAACAAGTGGTATAATGTTAACAATTGAATTGAATTTACAACATCAACTTGGTTTACAAATCAACACAAATTACTGAACAGCAATTACAATGGCCTTAGTACATTGGTGGTAGTACAATATTTTATGATAGTATATAATATGATAGCAGTGGTCAGTATCAAATACAATTTTAAAATACAGTGGTGATAGCAAAAGTCAGTGATAATAGTATATTCACCCAGCGGCGACGGTGGTCAAGCTTTCGAGATGGGCAAAGGCAGGGAATACGGGGTGATCCTCACACGAAAGCTGGTCTTGATGTATTCTCAGGTGAATTTGTGTGATGAAATTTGTGATGAGTGTGTGATGACATGTGTGATTAGATGTGTGACGACATGTGTGAGAGATGAGCCAGACACTCCCTTGTCCAACTATACATATATATGGTCGAACTAGCCACCGGAAATGTCTACACAGTGTTGTAAGGCTCTGTACAATGCTAGACGACTCTCGCCGTTTCCGGAAGTTACCACACCACTCTAGCATCTAAATATAGTAACTTCCTGACGGCTGCTAACATTAAACAATACTACAATCCTGACGACTAATCACTGTCCAAACACAATTCAATGAGCGTCTCCCGGACCTCAACGGAAACAATGTAGCACAGCTACAAACATTGTTCAACAATACAATATATTGCCATAAACACTTGGTAAAAGGGTTAATAAGGATGGACAAAATCAAGACACGGTGTAATATATCACTTTACTTACTTACTAGACTAACATCTAGTCTCTGAAATGAACATATCGTACAGAAAAAAACAGTTGTTCGGTTATCTTAATAATAATATAATAAAAGGGAGCCCAGTGACTCTCTTCATACTGCTTTTATCTAGACTTGCAAAGCATTATAGACTTGCATGGGCTGTATTTGATATATATTTGTATCAGGGTCTGTAAGACTTACTTACTTACTTACTTACTTACTTACTTACTTACTTACTTACTTACTTACTTACTTGCACTGAGCATATGACCCCAGTAACGATGTCTCGAAAAGTTGGGGATAAAACTCCTATTTGACTTTAAGGCTGGCAGCCATTTTGAAAACAACATGTTGGACCTTTGAACCATTTATAGACGTATTTGTTACTTGTTATGAGTATGATTGTTGTGATCTGTTTCCATGGTGACTTTTATCATCTTATTTTTAATATTTATATTTATATTGCTCCTAAATTTGATGAAATGTGCTGGTGTGGTGTCATGTTCCTCGTTTTTTATTTACAGAACCGATGTCTGACTCAAATCTGGTTTTCTGACTCTGGGATCGTGATTGGCAAGAGATGCGCCCCAATGCAGGTACAGTTAGCACTTAACCTTAATACTGAGTGAGTGAGTTGGCTTAACGCCGCTTCGAACAGTATTTCAAAAATCACGGCGTGTCAGTCAGCCTGATGTGAGAGGGAATATAAAATGTCAGTGACAGAGAATAACCAGTCTAGATTATCCGCCGAAACAGATTCCATTTGGCGTAAAGTGCAAAATAGCTGTGGAAATTATATGAATGGACCACTTGAGATCAGTGATGACAACACATGTTTGCGAACAGGGTAAGTCAAGAAGTGATGCATGGTTCAGACGTTTGCCATTCTGATGAAAGTATGGCTTTGGTGCTGACAGACCTAAGAACATAATCTGGGCGAACCGGGATTCGAACTAACGATCATAGGTTTGTGGATGCCCATGGGACACAACTCTGCACAGCGAGTTGCGGAATCTCAGACGACTGGCCCACCCGTCCCTCCTATATTAATGGTGAATATAACGGAGATAAAAGGTCTGTTCTCATATTGCTTTACTCGAATGAAGACCTAAGAGTCACAAAGGAGTCCGTTTTGAGACCCTAACAATATGCATTTTTATTCACCGATAAATTCCTAAACTTGACACATCCTGACAGCAAACATATAAATGTTGCTATAAAAAAACATCCCAAACCATGGAAATAAACTTCTGTTTCCGGAAAATCAGTATCTAACATCCTGCCAAATGTTATCGTATAACACATTTTGCACAACTGAAATATATTTCGCCACGATATAATTACATTGTACGTATACAGAACACAAAGTAACACCAGTTTCTCGGGCGTGCGGGGATGCTTTCTATGTATAAATGTGCTGTACATCACACTATCATTTCAGAAATGCTACGTCTACGAGGAGAACAACGAGGACGCTTGCAGCAACCCCGATGAAGAGTTCGAAGGCTATTGTTCGTTCTGTTGTGAGGGGCCAGGCTGCAACCAGGGTCTACCACCTTATGGTAAACAGGCGCAATACCATTGTTATAAGGTTAAAAATGCATCTCAGAAACGAATGATAACAAATAGAACCATTATAGCTGCAATGAGGAGTGGCATTAGATATAGTTTGTGACAGAACTTTTAGTTGGAAAGGAATCAATAGAGAAAAGACATTTCACATTTATCACAAGTGTATTCTGGACATTTCACATTTATCATTGGATTGGTCTCTGGCTATTATCCATGAGTTAATAAAACAAATGGGGAATTACAAGGTATAATCCATTTGGAGCTTCGGAGCGAGTCACGAAATCAATAGAGAGATGAGCAACCTGGCACGTAGGTTTTTGGTATTTTTCCGATGGTAACACACATGAGTTCATGGTCAGATATAAACTTGTAACGAATCAAATGGAGGTATTGAGACATGTGACAAGGACAGGTCAGGCTCGAACACTATAAAATGATACCCTCAACATTAGGAGAGTAGTGCGCGGTTTACAGTCGATCGAGTCGAATCCCGATCGTTCGAAGTTTCCACCAGCTAGTGACGAGCCTGGCCAGTCTGATCCTGTCCTGTATTGTTAGATGGGCTGAGAGTAAGTAAAACTATGTGAGTATAAACTGGTGTTGCGTTTCTTTATTATGCGGGTGTGAATGCTGATAGAGACAACTTGGAGTAAGGGTCATTAGGCCAATCACTCCTTGACGGAGCCGAGCCGTGGTGGACAAGGCGAGGGCAATGTCCTGGCTTAATTGATCACAAGGACGAGGAACGGCAATACATTTAGTAACTGTATTAGGGTCGCACTGGACGCCCGAAACCAGTTACGACACCATCACGCATTTCCTTGTGCCTTCCTCGCCGCGAATATCTGCAAGCTTGTTTATGTGACGTTAAGCAATATTCTACCATGAATTTGGAATTTACTCGATTCGGATTGGTCAATCAGAGGCTATTAAATCACCATAAACCCCCTCTGATTGAAACAGCTGGTTTGACGGCCGCATCACCGCGGAAGCTAATATTCATCATAGAATAGTACTTTTGTCAGTCATTGTCGGTAGGCATATTTAAATAATTATATCTACAATTACAGGTTACAAAATGCACAGATGCGGTTACTACAATATTCAAAGGTTGTGTGCAATACATTTCGTGCAGAAAACACGATAGAAATCTACAAAGGGAATGTATTTACGTTTTGAAGACAACAGAGAGCTTGGAATTTTGGCCCCATGCTGCGCGTTCGGTTCCAAATTCAATTAGGCGCGGTTAAGTCTCCAGGTTACCTAGCTCTACATTGAAAACACAGTATATTGTAGTGGTATATTTTCTCCTAAATCACTCGCACATTCGTTTTTGTCGTCGAATCCAGAAAGTTAAAGGTTGCAATTAAATGCATTCACTCGACACTTCTGAACCAAATTGGAACGCGGGTGTGACAAGTTCACGTGACGACCTTATAAAAGTCAATCTGGCGCCAGTCGTGACCCTATACGTTACTCGATTACGAATTTTAAACTTAGTTCTAATAACCATAAGTGAAACTTTTCTAAAATTCAGCCGTGATTTGTAAGGGGTATATGCGGAGGGGTATATTAGTAAACTGGATGTCAGGAGATCCGAGGATGTCAGCCGGCTGATCTCGTTCAGAGTTCATGGGGTCGGATCAAAGGTTATACTAGAGACTCGTTGTTTGCCCAGTATGACCAGGATTACAAACGATTCCATGTTGTTGGTGATGGTAACCCCTTCGTTAAGTTGTTATGTACTTACTAGAGTGATCTAGTAAACTATTACAACTTGTCTCGTCATCCTCTACTGTTTGTCTGTTTGCTGTTTAACGCCGCAATATTCCAGCTATATGACGGCGGTCTGTAAATAATCTAGACTGGACCAGACAATCCATTCATTGACATCATGAGCATCGATCCACGCGATTGGGATACAATGACATGCATCAAACAAGTCAGCGAGCCTGACCACCCGATCCCGTTAGTCGCCTCTTACGACAAGCACAGCCGCCTTTCACGGCAAGCATGGGTCCTGAAGACTTATTCTACCCCGGATCTTCACGGGTATCATCATCTATTGTCTGTTGGATGGTGTGTATGGCCCGAATGTTGGTGATGATACTTTGGTGTTCTTTGCCTCGGAACCCATGAAACCCAACGACCGCGGGAAAGACTAACTACCTTAAGGGTCAACATATTTTACTTCATATCTTGGTGGGGGCGGCCGGGTAGCCTAGTGGTTAAAGCGTTAGCTAATCACGCCGAACACTTGGGTTCGATTCCGGCCATGAGTACAATGTGTGAAGCCCATTTCTGGTGTCCCCCGCCGTGATATTGCTTGAATATTGCTAAAAGCGGTATAAACCATACTCACTTATATATTGGGTTGTGTAGCCGTCTGCAGCCAAGCGTTGAGAGTGACCAGACCACATTACATCATAACATGACGTCATGACATTACGTCAGATCCGGTTAAGGGACTGGACGCCGGAAATAGCATGAGCTAGGGAAAAACCCTCACTATTTCTATTGTAATGCATTCTCCCCGACAACTGACAGCGTTGAGATGGAAGTGAAAAACTTTGAATTTTCACTACTTGTTGAGACAGGGAACGTTGGACGGCAGATCATACCTGTTTTCGCTAAATATCCATGTGTGCATCTTTCAGGGACAGTTTCGGAGGATGAAGCCGATGACGTAGATGACGGCGACAGTAAGTCACATGGGAGCAAGTCAGGAGGTCATGGGAGCAAGTCAGGAGGTCATGGGAGCAAGTCAGGAGGTCATGGGAGCAAGTCAGGAGGTCATGGGAGCAAGTCAGGAGGTCCTGGCAGCAAGTCAGGAGGTCATGGGAGCAAGTCGAAAGGTCCTGGCAGCAAGTCAGGAGGTCATGGGAGCAAGTCAGGAGGTCATGGGAGCAAGTCAGGAGGTCCTGGCAGCAAGTCAGGAGGTCATGGGAGCAAGTCAGGAGGTCATGGGAGCAAGTCAGGAGGTCATGGGAGCAAGTCAGGAGGTCATGGGAGCAAGTCAGGTGGACCAGGCAGCAAGTCAGGAGGTCATGGCAGCAAGTCAGGAGGTCATGGGAGCCATTCAGGTGGACCAGGCGGCAAGTCAGGTGGGCCAGGTGGACCAGGTGGACCAGGCGGCAAGTCAGGTGGACCAGGTGGACCAGGCGGCAAGTCAGGTGGGCCAGGTGGACCAGGTGGACCAGGCGGCAAGTCAGGTGGACCAGGTGGACCAGGCGGCAAGTCAGGTGGACCAGGCGGCAAATCACATGGACCAGGCGGCAAGTCAGGTGGACCAGGCGGCAAGTCAGGTGGACCAGGTGGACCAGGCGGCAAGTCAGGTGGACCAGGTGGACCAGGCGGCAAGTCAGGTGGACCAGGCGGCAAGTCAGGGCCTGTTAAAAGCCCTGGAGCACAAGGGGGACTCAAAACACCGGCTCCTGCGACACAACCACCTCCTCTTCAGACAAACCCACCAAAGACACCCCAGCCACAAGCAAAGACCCAACCTCCAGCAACGCAACCTAGAGCAACACAACCTCCGGCAACACAACCTCCAGCAACACAACCTCCGGCAACTCAACCCGCAGCAACACAACCCCCTGCCACCAACGCACCTCAAACACAGGCCCCACCAGCCCAAAACAGACCAGCACAGCAGCCTAACAACGTGGTACAGCCTTGTCACTGTCATGCTGGTCAACTGTGCTACGTAAATCATGGCCCAGCTGGTCAAAATGGTCAATCGGTCAACCAGGGAGGTAGTCAGATAGGTGCCCTGGGCAGTTCCGGTTTGGACATAACCATCAACCTTCATCTCGGAGGAATATTGTTTGGAAGCGCCGGAAACCAGATGAGCCCAGCCCAGAGTGTTGCTAATTGTCCCTGTGCCCAGCAAAACGCCAAACCCGCAACTACAGCCGCGCCAACACAACGTAAGAACAATTCTAATTGATATGCCACTCAATGGGTAAAGTGAATCTGCCATGTAATATGAAAGAATCAGGTGGTCCATGAGTTCTTAGGAGTCGTATGTATTATTATATTAATTTATCATTCATTTGTTATTTTGGGATGGGGGTTTGCTTCTTAAAGACATGCAACTGATTTTGGTTCTTTAATTTGGGTTGATTAGTTTTTTAGATTTTGGTTTTAAGTGAGTGGAGTTGAGTGGGGGAAAACAGGCATTTTTGAAAATTCCTTTTGTTCAAGAAAATACGAAATACTGGAAAAAGATTTTTTTTATCCCAGGTTTGTATCCTGACCTGCTTTATGTGGGAGGAAAGCTTGAAATGATGCAGGTCTGAAACGTTTACCACTTTGGTGAAACCAAGAGCACGGGTATGCTGTTGATAAACCTAGAACCATAATCGGGGCGAACTGGGATTGTAATCCACGACAATCCAGGTTTTTGATGCGCCCAAGGGACACTAATCTGTGCGGCCACAAAGTGAACTTATAGTTCTTGAGAAACACCATTATTTATACTCCATATGACCTATATATTAGTCCTGTGTCACATCTCTGTTCCAGCGACTATCCCACCAACAGTCACCCAGCATCCGACCACGCCCAAACCGACTGCATCTCCAACGAAGTCGCCCAAAATGACAATAGCACAAACAAATCAACCGACACCGACAACCGCACAACCAACAAAACAACCGACAACCGCACAACCAACAAAACCACCGACATCCGCACAACCAACAAATCCACCGACAACCGCACAACCAACAAATCCACCGACAACCGCACAACCAACAAAGTCAACAAATAAACTTGTTCCAAAATTTCCTTCAACTGCTGCACCGTCGACTACACCAACAACGGCTTCAACCGCTTCAACTACGACTACAACAACTTCCACAACGACAACTACTCCAACTACCACTGTGAAACGTAGGCAGACATTTACACAAGTCCCTTCATGGTTACGTTCAGACTGCGATAATATCAGCTGTTCACTTTAAAATCACGTTGCCATTGACAAAATATTTTAAAGGGATGAATAATTTGTTTTCAGTAACTGGTAATTACGGAGTATTTGAATTGACAAGTTATCAAGCTTTTATTCCTTAGTTCCTTTCACAATAACTAGTAAATTCAGATTGTTCTCTTTAAATTAGCAAGATTTATCATCTATAATTTCTTTTACAATAATTGTTTGCTTGACTGAAAATGTTGTCAATCTGTGTTCCCTTAGTTGTTATACAATAATGTTCAGAGTATTTGCTTGGACTGAGGACGTTGTCAATCTGTGTTCCCTAAGTTGTTCTACAATAATGTTCAGAGTATTTGCTTGGACTGAAGACGCTGTCAATCTGTGTTCCCTAAGTTGTTCTACACTAAGTGTTCAGAGTATTTGCTTGGACTGAGGACGTTGTCAATCTGTGTTCCCTAAGTTGTTCTACAATAATGTTCAGAGTATTTGCTTGGACTGAGGACGTTGTCAATCTGTGTTCCCTAAGTTGTTATACAATAAGTGTTCAGAGTATTGGGTTGGACTGAAGGCGCTGTCAATCTGTGTTCCCTAAGTTGTTCTACAATAAGTGTTCAGAGTATTTGCTTGGACTGAAGACGCTGTCAATCTGTGTTCCCTAAGTTGTTCTACAATAAGTGTTCAGAGTATTGGCTTGGACTGAAGACGTTGTCAATCTGTGTTCCCTAAGTTGTTCTACAATAATGTTCAGAGTATTTGCTTTGACTGAAGACGTTGTCAATCTGTGTTCCCTAAGTTGTTCTACAATAAGTGTTCAGAGTATTTGCTTTGACTGAGGACGTTGTCAATCTATGTTCCCTAAGTTGTTCTACAATAAGTGTTCAGAGTATTGGCTTGGACTGAGGACGTTGTCAATCTATGTTCCCTAAGTTGTTCTACAATAATGTTCAGAGTATTTGCTTGGACTGAGGACGTTGTCAATCTGTGTTCCCTAAGTTGTTCTACAATAATGTTCAGAGTATTTGCTTGGACTGAAGACGTTGTCAATCTATGTTCCCTAAGTTGTTATACAATAAGTGTTCAGAGTATTTGCTTGGACTGAGGACGTTGTCAATCTATGTTCCCTAAGTTGTTCTACAATAATGTTCAGAGTATTTGCTTGGACTGAGGACGTTGTCAATCTGTGTTCCCTAAGTTGTTCTACAATAACTGTTCAGAGTATTTGCTTGGACTGAAGACGTTGTCAATCTGTGTTCCCTAAGTTGTTCTACAATAAGTGTTCAGAGTATTTGCTTGGACTGAGGACGTTGTCAATCTGTGTTCCCTAAGTTGTTCTACAATAGCTGTTCAGATTATTTGCTTGGACTGAGGACGTTGTCAATCTGTGTTCCCTAAGTTGTTCTACAATAACTGTTCAGAGTATTTGCTTGGACAAAGGACGTTCTCAATCTGTGTTCCCTAAGTTGTTATACAATAACTGTTCAGAGTATTTGCTAGGACTGAAGACGTTGTCAGTCTGTGTTCCCTAAGTTGTTATACAATAATGTTCCGAGTATTTGCTAGGACTGAAGACGTTGTCAGTCTGTGTTCCCCAAGTTCTTCTACAATAATGTTCAGAGTATTTGCTTTGACTGAGGACGTTGTCAATCTGTGTTTCCTAAGTTGTTACGTATACACAATAACTGTTCAGGGTATTTGCTTTGTAATTCAATGGCATTGATCTAGGAACTACATACCGCACGTGCATGTATAGCAACACAGCCTGAAGCTGGTTCAAAATAAGATGTTGTGTCTGTGCACACGCGCACACTTCCATTAATTCTAATTAAGGTACACCCACCCCCATTTTCCAAGAAGCTGAGTAAGCATGTGCCTTGTCTCCATCTGTTTATTTTCTTCTTGATGTTCCACAGCCGTGCAGTGTTACACCTGCAAGGACCTCTCCTGCTATGACATGAGTCTGGTGAACTGCCCCACGGACAAACCGTACTGCATGTCAACCATCAGTCAAAGTTTTTCAGGAGCGAGGAACTTCACAAAAGGGTAATGTTTAGTTGCTTGTATTGAGGGCACGGGTAGCGCAGTCGTCTAAGGAGCCGCAATTCGATGTGTAGAGTTGCGTCCCCTGGGCACGCCAGAAACCTATGATCGTGATTTTGAATCCTGGTTGGCACCGATTATGTTTCTCTTGGCTTGTAAGCACCATACTTGCGCTGGTGGCTTTCAATAAAGTGATAAACATCTAAAACCTGTATAACATCAAGTCAGCTTGCCTCACACATGAATCCCGGAATCTGATTGTCTGAGACCCGTTCTGTCATTTTCAACGTACCCAGCTAATATGTTAGGTGTATTTCTTATCGCCGCTCGTATTGCAGAAATGTTGGCATTACATTTGCAACATACAAAGCGGAATTTTGTATCTCGAATTTATAATGTAAGACGCCATTCTCCGGATATTTACGATATTTTCCGAATGGGGGATTACTTGTGATAATAGCTGATCAATGTGAAAAATGAACCAACTGCCTAGCTCTGGTATTATTACTGATTCGGACCAAAGCAGGCATGCATAAGACATACCAGCAACATAATTAGGTCTATGGTGTGATACACTATTGCCTAGAAGTTCATTCCCTACACGCATGGGCAACGCGTTACGCAACCCGTGTGCACCCCGTTGGTCTCTCGTGGGGAACCCGTCCGCCACGCGCGTGACACCCGTCTGCAACGCATGACACACTCATTAGAGAGGGAACAAACTTTTGATCAAAGGAGGACCCATGTTAAGCTAAACTTGGAGGTGGTAAAAAGGAGAGAAATTGTTGAATACCCTGACGAAAAATGTCAATACACATTTTATCATATGTACTTGCTGATGTCTCATTTTTAGATGTGATTTCTGTTGTGGCTTCTACATGATGTTTTGCGATGGTGTTAAGAGAATACATGATTGTGGTTAATGGGATTGCTATTTAAATGCTTTTTTTAATGTGACATTAAGCGTCTGTAGTACGACTCTCAGTGCATTCGTGACCAACTCGTGTTATTCCGGGACAAGCCGAATAGCGACTCGTGCCCCTCTCGTGGCCATTTTTGCGACCGGGATCCGTCTTAGCGCAAACGGGCATACCTAAAACAATTGTCAACTCGTTGCGTAAGGGTTTACATATATTTCCCCATATATTATATATATTTCAGATGCAATTTAAAGCACATCGGGACATGCGGAATTATACAGTATGATTGAACACATTTAAATGTGTCTTGGGTATAATTTTAGATGCAAGACATATGTCAAATCAAAAATTATTTCTGAGGGATTATTTGACAAAGAACTCGAAATCATACGCGCATTCTGATTGGTTTGTCGTATTTTCGCACACAACATTCATCGATAGGGGGACGAGTCTTCTTGCAGGTTACGGAAAGGGGCGAGTGGTGACGAATGCTCTCAGTGATCATGTTTATGAGGTTTGGCGGAGCATTGTTTTTATTGGACCCTAATTACTTTATTGGTTGGGTCTCTTTGTCTCAGCTCCATAGCCGTGACGCTGTGAAAGGGCAGCATTTAATTCATGAGAGTAGGTTATATCATAGAGGATACACTTGAGGGAGAGGGTTCTACTAATTACTGTACCACAGACCTGTAGACGTGAGCACAGAGTTGTGTATAAGATGGCCGTTGCATAATGGCCGCCTGGAGAGGTAAACATTGAGCTAAAGCAGTTGGTTGTTGAATAAATTCCCAGCGCTGCTGTCAAAATATCTTCTACTTGATCTTTGATACATCATTTTGGCATTTACAATATATATTTTTTTCCAACATACATTAATAGTTTACTAGTCATGTTTTAGAATATTTGTCAATAGTGTTGAGCTTACAGGCAATAAATGTAACTTGTGGTAAATATAAAACGTCTCATGTAAAACATGAAGTAAGTACGATAGTAAATAATAATATTCAAATCGCATTGAATCACAATGATAACAAGATACATATGTTATCCTAAAGCCTGTATTAGACATTCAGAGCCAGGAGGAAAACTGATTAAATAAAGGGAAGAAGCTTGCCCTTACATATATGTAGAGACATCATCTGAATATGACTATATATGTAAATGTTACGATACTGTACCCTTCTTCACGAACTATTAAAACATGGGCATAAGGTCACGGAGACGAAGGCTATAGATACTATATCATATTCGAATTTTTAGATGATAAAGTACATTATTTGATTTAATACATTCAGTTATAGATATCTACAAATCGATTTGCGATATCAGTAAGCATTTCATGACATAATAACACAAAATTTGTTATATAGATTCTTTCTTTGGTATCCATAAATGAATTATTTATGTATTATGAATTATATATTGTTCTTTGTGGATGGTATTGAGTAACGCGATTGCATCACGGTTACACTGTTAATTGCTAGTCTTTTTTCTGCACCATCATTTCTTTCATCATGAAAAGTGTTTTAAAAACGCCAACTTATATTTATAATTAACCAAGGAAATAATACTAACCCGACCTGCGTTTATTTATCGCTCCTTCATTATTATCGTTAACATGTGTCTACTTTTAAGTGTTTATGCTTATAATACACATCATAATGATTAAGGAATGACACATCATCGTAACATATATGTACTGTATATACATGCAGCACGCCTGTACTTTGATTCCATAGCACCCGTTACACCGAATTACTATGTAACGGTTCACCCCTTGTTTTCTAGACATGCCATTCGGACATATAAGTCAGATGTGACAGTTATCACAATCTCACCGGTTATAAAGATTTGATACATGCTGACTGACACTCTTCATGAGTCAGTGATTAAGACAACAGATCACTTCACCCGCTTCCTACCTATTCAGTATGTACGTGTGATAACATGGCTGTATGTGTGCATGGTATGTTTGGCTGTATGTACCATTACATGGATGTATGTATGGAAATTATGGGTGTGTATTTATGTTTGTGTGCGTGCGTTCGTGTGTAAATGTATGTAAATGTATGTAAGCCTAGATTACAAAATACATGCCTCGGTCGTTTGAAGTCAGAAGGTAGGGGTATTCCCGGGAAGGAAGACTACTCTCGCAGTAGGTCACTAGAGCAGAAACTTCTCTCGCGGAATAAGGCGAGAATAGCAGAGTAAGTTTGGGGATTGTCGGCTGTTGTGTGAAAACAATGCTTCAGAAAGATCGACGTCCTGTCCCTATGAACAAACCTTCAGATTACGGATTGAACGCCCAAAGTGTCTGTTACGTTTCTTAATGCTTAATTACCTTTGCTGGAGAATATGTTTCTTGTACAAGCGCTATGTTAAGGCTAGGCTGTACTTTTTACGTTTTCCTGTATTTAGCAGGCCCCTCATGCTAAAAAAACAGTCTAACTGTTTATATTACTATATTCTGCTATGCTTTACATTACTATTATATTAGGCCTTAATCTTATCATTATTTGAAACTTTCTCCCTCTGTAACACAAGCCATAGGTTCTAGTATTATATTTAATATATCCATATTTACATAATACATAAATGTATATACATAAATCATTTATATATTTATAGTCAAGTCATATACCTATAATATAATATGGTATGGTATGGTATGGTATGGTATGGTATGGTATGGTATGGTATGGTATGGTATGGTATGGTATGATTTGATTTGATTTGATATGATATGATATGATATGATATGATATGATATGATATAATATAATATGGTTTATATCTATTGACTGTGAAGTCAACGTAAAAACTATAATTGATGGTGATAATATATGAATGTTAATGCAACAAGCGCTGCCTGTGAAGATAAATGTAAATACGTTTGACATATTGATATTTTTCAACACCTTTATAAACGGTAAAATTAGATACATTTAAACGTTAGTAGCATATAACACTTGAAATTTAAAGGTCTACAAAAAGATGTATTTCTTATAATAGAAGGTATATAAGGGTATTTAGAAAGGTAACGTAACTCGTTACGAAAAATTAGTTCTCTTGATATTAAATACTGGACATTGCCCGGCACCCAACTTTTTTTCTTTTTTTTGGTAAAAGTTAATAAGAGGATATTTGGTGGGGGACTAGAGGTATCTTTTCAGAGGGTATCATTCTGACATTACTCATTATTTATTGGAGGATATTGGATTGGATTTGTTATCTTAACAATCAGTGGGGGTTTAACATTAGGGGTTGTGATTTGTACAATTGCCCAAAATTGTCCTTCTGAGTATCGGTGCTTGGTGATGCCAAAGGTAACATTTTATTAAAAGAGGAAACTGGTAGTGAATACTTAATACCATGTATACAGGATATCTTAAGGATTCTTAGCCCTTTTTATCTCTGTGTGTAATTCTGATGGAAAGAAGTCACTCAACCAGTTCATGCATTCTATGTAAAAGAAGATCAGACTTGGTCAGAATCCGTGTTTATCTGTGACAACTTCCAATTGGTGACATATTACTGAACTTGGAGAGTGGTGATGAATTTTGATATTCATATTATTATAATTTGTCAAATTGTACATAAATTTGTGTGTTAAATCATAGATATTGAAAGGGACTGTTCCCTACACCCATCAATATCTTAATGAATGAACATTAGTTTATTGTATGGATAATATAAAGATCTCAATAAGTATATGTTTAATGTTTTGCGTGCATGAAAGATGGGATTAAGGGAGAAGTGAAATCTTTTCCAAAACGTTTCCAATAAGTAGTGGAGAAAATTGGAAATGGCTGTATTTTGCATAAAATCCGTGATAGATGTGACAGATCTCACAGGGTAACATTCAACAGGTTCATGACATTGTGATCATTTTAACGTTTTTCTTATCAGTTTAGAAAACAGAAACAATTTGAAGTGAACTACATTGGAAAATGAGAGAAGAAATTAATAGTCAATGTTTTTTTTATCATAAAAAGACTCTCTGTTCAGTATACAACAGTTGTTATTTTACTTCTTTCAAGAGGAATCCCAAACCTTCTCTTACTCTGTTATGATATATCATGTCAAAGGGAAAACAAAAAACATTAACGTGCAACAAAGCATTTTCCACGGACTTGTTAATTTTCTTATTGTTACTATACATTTGTTCAGATTACTTAAAACTATACCAGATACTATCAACTATTATTTGCTTCCGTGTGTGAATTTCTTTTAAACAATATTAATATTTTTTTCCACTTGGTACAATGAAAGGGGATTGATAAACAGACAGAGCCTATATAAATATCTCTCCCGACAAAATTCAAACAAGCAGCATTAGTATTATTATACAGTAGTATGGGTTTAACGCCGCTTTTAGCAGTATTCCAGTTATATTTCGGCATGTCAGCTTAATGTGTGAGGAAAGCCCAAATTGATGCAGGTCTCAGACGTCTACCACTTCGGTGAAACCCACGAGCACGGGTATGGGGCTGACAAACCTAGAAACGTGATCGGGGCGAACCGGGATTCGAACCCACAATCATAGGTTTCTGGCGTGTCCAAGGGACGCAACTGCACAGCGAATCGCGGCGCCTTAGACAACTGGGCCAACCATGCTCCCGACTTGGTATTAAGTCATATGTGCTGCATCAAGGGTAAACAGTTGTTAGTGAGATTTATATAAGAGTGCATATTTTGACAAATCTTTTGCTCATAGAGAAGAAATGATGTACAGAGTCAACGATGTTCAGCAGCATTTCTTCGTCTAGGCTGACGTTACCAAAAAGGACGATTCGTAGATCATATCCATTAACATAACAATAGTTTTCAGATCTAACCTCAGTATAATTTGGTTAAGTAAATAGGTAGTGTAAAGCACTTTCGTTGAAAAAAACACATTCAGCATTATCGCTAATAAATCTTTCAAATTTGTGACCGTTCAGATCATTACATCCTTGTCTTAGCTTACGGTGGATTTATGAACCAATATTTTTGAATATGTCAGGCACTTCTGATTTAATACACTTATACAGTTGGGTTTTTTAAAACTGAGGTAATGAAGCTGCTTCTCTCAATGTAGAATCTAGTGCATTCCAGGAGGAGACCGTGTGTGAACACTTGCATATTGGCTCCCCGGCTCCCACATTCTTCTCCGACTTGCAGTTTTTGTTTATAAAATATTTGAAAGAAGGATAATACATTGAATATTAATAAAACTGTTTACGCCTATTCAGCTATAATCTAATCAGTATACACGTGGCGCTCCATGACGAATTCTCCCACAACAAAATGTCATTGTACTGTTGGCCTCATGGCCACACATACGAAATAAATTTGCCTGTAAATGTTTCGCCCTCGTGATTTAACGTTCTAACATTTCAGGACAACTAAAATCATTCTGCTGCAGACATCCTATAGTACATGTTGAATTACCCCGAATGAAAAAATCATTCTGCTGCAGACATCCTACTGTACATGTTGAATTACCCCGAATGAAAAAATCATTCTGCTGCAGACATCCTACTGTACATGTTGAATTACCCCGAATGAAAAAATCATTCTGCTGCAGACATCCTACTGTACATGTTGAATTACCCCGAATGAAAAAATCATTCTGCTGCAGACATCCTATAGTACATGTTGAATTACCCCGAATGAAAAAATCATTCTGCTGCAGACATCCTACTGTACATGTTGAATTACCCCGAATGAAAAAATCATTCTGCTGCAGACATCCTACTGTACATGTTGAATTACCCCGAATGAAAAAATCATTCTGCTGCAGACATCCTACTGTACATGTTGAATTACCCCGAATGAAAAAATCATTCTGCTGCAGACATCCTACTGTACATGTTGAATTACCCCGAATGAAAAAATCATTCTGCTGCAGACATCCTACTGTACATGTTGAATTACCCCGAATGAAAAAATCATTCTGCTGCAGACATCCTACTGTACATGTTGAATTACCCCGAATGAAAAAATCATTCTGCTGCAGACATCCTATAGTACATGTTGAATTACCCCGAATGAAAAAATCATTCTGCTGCAGACATCCTACTGCACATGTTGAATTACCCCGAATGAAGAAATCATCTTTGTTTCGTTTAGATGCGTCACGGAACATGTGTGCGAAACACAATGGTGGAAGTCAACTGCAGGCTTAGCCGACTGCTTCCTGTTAGACGGTTCACCTTCCGGTTTTTCCGGCATGCCCTTGGACAAGTGCAGCTTTTGTTGCCAAGGCGACGGTTGCAACAAAGACGCGATACCGCCTGTAGGGGCACTGTATAATCCTAAAAGTAAGTTAACCCCCCACCCTGATGTACACCCTTAGAATACACATTTACGTTGTATAAAAATAAATAAGATTTCATCTAGTAGTGTTGTTATCATTCCAAATTCATTATTGCTTGTGTTCGTCAAAAGTTGGTAAAGAAACCTCCATTTTGACGATGACTGATCTGGCGATGCAATTGGTTTTGGCTTTCACACAGACAGCTCATGCTTGGAATATTCATGAGTATTACAACCTGGGTTAGGTTATGCCCTACAACAAGCATGTGACACATATACGGCAGATTTGCAAGGGATTCCAACTGCTACCACTGCTGTCCTGGTTTCGTGACTTTTCAGGGAACCTCGGTGAAACCAAATTTCTCATGATGCAGTAGTCAAAGCAGTACTTCATCACACACTCTGAAATGAAAAGATGATATAGAATGATATTTCCAATGATATCTACCAATGTAAAAACGTCATTTTTTGCTGATTAGTTGTGTGAAGGTCCAAACAAGGATGCGCCAGGTCACTTTCAAAGGGCGAATTGGACTTACAACAGTCATCTGATTTCGTCATCAGACGAAATGAAATGAAAACAATATGATTGTTTATTACAACTAACATAATTAATGATCAAGTTATTAACGCACGCCGTTAGCAACTTGTCTAAAATCCGAATGGAATTATTTTGGTAGCGGTCGCCGATTCTAATTCTCTGCAGTTTTACTGATACAATACATTATTTTACATATATACATGCACGTGGGGTTCACCAAAGTGGAAACTATCTAAGACTTCGTGCTTTCCTCCTTCATCAAGCTGACACGCTGTGATAAAACTGGAATAGTGTTCAAAGCAGCCTTACACCCAACTCACTAAATATTGACGTTAATTTCAATCATCACACAACTGCATTTATATAGCATCTGCACAACCCCATCCAGACAGCACAGCAACGACAGTTCTCTCTGTAAAGTTGAAGTCCTCAGGAGTTACATCTTCTACAGCAGTCACAGGACCCCCAACGTCGGTGTCAACGTCATCTTCAACGTCGACTTCAACGTCGACTTCAACGCCAACGCCTACAACGGTAGCAAAGAGAGGTCAGATTAGACTCCATCAGACATTCTGTTATGTATGGAAGATGTCTTAAATAGCTGTTGGTGTCCCTGAAAGGGCTGTGCAAAGTGGCATGCCTTAGACGTTAAAAGCGTTAATCACTGTGGGTTCCAATACGAGAATCACATCTCTGTCTATTTTGGGTTTGATGTCGCCATGACCATTCATGGGTGGTAAGAACATAACACCTGAATGACGTTGGTCGTTCCTCAAAAGCTTATATTGTCGTAACTGCGTTGAGGACTTAACAGGACCCTACAGTTAATAAATGTATTGTGTTCCACATCATCATGGTCAGTCTAAGCCATGACTCCACAACTCGCCTGGTCAACCAAGGGTCATTTAAGTCAAGGAGCAATTGGTCCATCGACCCTTGCTCAGAAGTGCCTCCATAAGCATTTATGTACTGTCACTAACACATAACAATGAACACAATACAAGGTTTATACAGTAAAGTACGGTTATAACGAACTCAAGGGGACTACTTATTATAGTTCGTTATAACCGTAGTTCGTTATAAGGATATATACAGCATAACTACAGCAAATAGTCGGGACCAAAAAAGTAAGTTCGTTATATCCGTCAGTTCGTTATAAGCGTGTTATAACTGTAGTTTACTGTACTCCAATACTTTTACTAACGCTTCAGTCCATCGCTCAAAATACGCCTTCTGAACAAGACAGGACAGGCTCGTCACAGAGGGGGGAACAGAGAAGTGTCTGTGTGAAGTCAACTACAAAACCCACACTACTGTACTAGTGTTATAGGTATCTTTTTAAGGTAATCGAACCTGACCTTTCTTTGTCACATGTCATAATACATCAATTTGACTCGTTAAAAACTAAATCCGACCATGAACTCATGTGTCGTAATCATAAAAATCCCGTGGACTACTGACCGATTCGTCATCCCATTTATTGACTCAAAAGAAAAATGTTCTACCTCTGCTAATCAGTTTGAATGGCACCCACAGTCTTGAAACAATCACCATGATAAATGGGAAATACCTTGTCTCTATCGATTCATGTTTCTGTTTCTCTTCCGCTTTAAGACAATCCAGCGTCCATGCTTTTATTCAATCATTGAAGCTACCGCGTCAGTAAACATCATTCCAAGGGTTTCATTTGTTACAGTTTTACTTATTTTTTTTTTAGATGCAGTTTACCTTGTATCAATATAACGGAAACACTGATCATAACATGTACAAATAACTTGGGACACATAAATAGGTTGCTCGTTACAATAGGCAGGTCAAACATAATTGTTATTCTTTATTTCGATTTCCCATCCACTGCTACCTCAATTCCCATCCACTGCTACCTCAATTGTACTGAGGAAAACAATGATACAAGCGCGTATTTCTTTGTAAAACAATAGGCAGGTCAAACATAATTGTTATTCTTTATTTCGATTTCCCATCCGCTGCTACCTCAATTGTACTGAGGAAAACAATGATACAAACGCGTATTTCTTTGTAAAACAATAGGCAGGTCAAACATAATTGTTATTCTTTATTTCGAGTTCCCATCCACTGCTACCTCAATTCCCATCCACTGCTACCTCAATTGTACTGAGGAAAACAATGATACAAGCGCGTATTTCTTTGTAAAACAATAGGCAGGTCAAACATAATTGTTATTCTTTATTTCGATTTCCCATCCGCTGCTACCTCAATTGTACTGAGGAAAACAATGATACAAACGCGTATTTCTTTGTAAAACAATAGGCAGGTCAAACATAATTGTTATTCTTTATTTCGAGTTCCCATCCTCTGCTACCTCAATTGTACTGAGGAAAGCAATGATACAAACGCGTATTTCCTTTGTAAAACAATAGGCAGGTCAAACATAATTGTTATTCTTTATTTCGATTTCCCATCCACTGCTACCTCAATTGTACTGAGGAAAACAATGATACAAACGCGTATTTCTTTGTAAAACAATAGGCAGGTCAAACATAATTGTTATTCTTTATTTCGATTTCCCATCCACTGCTACCTCAATTCCCATCCACTGCTACCTCAATTGTACTGAGGAAAACAATGATACAAACGCGTATTTCTTTGTAAAACAATAGGCAGGTCAAACATAATTGTTATTCTTTATTTCGATTTCCCATCCACTGCTACCTCAATTCCCATCCACTGCTACCTCAATTGTACTGAGGAAAACAATGATACAAGCGCGTATTTCTTTGTAAAACAATAGGCAGGTCAAACATAATTGTTATTCTTTATTTCGATTTCCCATCCACTGCTACCTCAATTCCCATCCACTTCTACCTCAATTGTACTGAGGAAAACAATGATACAAACGCGTATTTCTTTGTTTTTAGAAAATAAATACGATTATTTTGTTTCTTTGTTTGCTGCACTCAGCAATATTCCAGCTATATGACAGTGACCTGTAGTTAATGGAGTCTGGTCCAGAAGCGAATGTAGTATGCAAAAACATAAAGTGCTGGGCAGAAGAAAGAATACACCCATGTTTATTGGTGGCTAAAATTTAAAAAATACGCGCTAAGAAATGGTTATTTGATGGTGATATATTGAACACGGGTATTGTGTTTTGGAGTTTGCAGTATTTCGGCGACTGCTTTCAGCCATGTAACGGTAGTTTATATTTCTTTTGTTTAGGGAAGTTCAGCGTCGTTCACTGATGAAAAACAATCTATTATGCAGCTGAGTAAAATTTATTTATGCGTTTACATCAAATACATAACAATTTTTAAAATTCTTCAGTGTAGACATTCTGACGAAATAAATGTTTTGACCAAAGAATTTTGTTTTCACTAAGGACTGAAATGTCAAGTCTGCGGGGACTTGAACGCGAAGATTCCGTGCAGCCCGAGGGATATGTTTGTACCAAAGGAACAACTGTGTCCTGCAGGTCAATTCTGTATGGTTGATGTTCTACATGACGTGAATGGCGCTCAGACGACGTATAAAAGGTAACACTCAATGCATTATCATTAGTCCTTAAAGAACCTAGTTGTCTTATTTGCCAGAATGGGGCGGTCGGGTAGCCTAGTGGTTAAAGCGTTCGCTCGTCACGCTGAAGACCCAGGTTCGATTCCAAACATGGGTACAATGTGTGAAGCCCATTTCTGGTGTCCCCGCCGTGATATTGCTGGAATATTGCTAAAAGCGGCGTAAAACCATACTCACTCACAATTGGCCAGAGTTGCAGTCTTGAAAAAATCCAAAAATGTTAATCACTTGCTCGTCACTGTTGATCCCAAGATACCACACGAAGTAAGTAACCATGCAATCACAAGATAGAAGGTTAGCCTTGTGCTGAATGCGTTCGCACTTCCCCCTGAAGATGGGTTCTATTCCCCACATTGGTACAATGTGTGAAGCCCTTTTCTGCTGTCCCCTGTCGGATATTGCTGGAATATTTCTAAAAGAGGTGTACAATCAACTCAACCACCCACAAGATAGATCTAAATGTCACACACAAATATTTCACTAAAATAAAATGTGTGAACGCTACTGACATGAGAGGCACCAACCTGTACTGCTCACATGAGTGAGTGAGTGAGTTGGGTTTAACGCCGCTTTTAACAGTATTCCAGTTATATCGTGGCGTGTCAGCTTAATGTGGGAGGAAAGCCCGAAGTGATGCAGGTCTCAGACGTTTACCACTTCGGTGAAACCCACAAGCACGGGTATTGTGCTGACAAACCTAGAAACATAATCGGGGCGAACCGGGATTCGAACCCTCAATCTTAGGTTTCTGGCGAGCCAAAGGGACGCAACTCTGCACAGCGAATCGCGGCGCCTAAGACGACTGGGCCACCCGTGCCCCCACTGCTCACACGAGGCGACTTAATAGAACAAGTGGCCGGGCGCAGTGACTTGGCTAGCTGCTTGTCATCATATCCGACAGGAGAGATTGAGATGACGATGCTCATAATATCAATCACAAGTTTGTCTGGTGAGACTACTATCTTGCAGCTTTTATGCCTCTATAATCCGGATCCTGTTATCACGGAACGTACCTTCTGACCTGACTCTTTTGGTATTTGTTCATCCAGGGATTTGTTATACGTTTTACATGTATTCATAAACCTGTACAATTCACTGGAAACGGATATCCTCTTTGGTGTGGTGATTAGAGCGTCGGAGACCGCTGGTCGCGTCATACCAAACGACGTAATACAATGGTATTTCTTGTTACCCTGTCTGGATATTAAGGGGATAAAACAAGGACTGGTTGGCTCGGAGTCTGTATACTCTGTCTGAGTGGGGTATATATGTTAAACTGTCCCGTGGTGGCTCAATACAAAACGGCATTAGTTGGGACTAGTAGACAAACACACATAAAAACACACACATTACACACACATACACACACACAAACACACTACACACACACACTACACACACACACACACTACACACACACACACACACACACACTACACACACACACACACACACACTACACACACACACACACACACACACACACACACACACTACACATAGACACACACTCTACACACACACAGAGATTATGTCTGTGGGTATGTCAGAAATACACTGGGAATTTTTCTCGTGGGTTTCACCAAATTGTTATACTTCACTTCGGGCTTTCAGGTCATGGTACAGTTAACATACGGCTCAGAGAAGAAACACCAACATTTGTGGTAGCTTTTGGTAGTTTGAATTGATGATACGCTGTCGAGCAAACAACTTATATTTTTCGTGACAGGTGCGTGAGCCAGACTGCCTGCTCAAGACAATGGTACCACCAGACTTCAGACGAGGGGCGATGCATGCAGAAACAAACTGGAAGTATTGCCAGTATTGACTGCCATTATTGCTGCACCACTCCAGGCTGTAACAAACTTCCAAGACCTCAACTCTCAACTCTTTATAAACCAAAATGAAGAGCCTATCCGCCTGATATGTACGTCTGCCATACAACTGTACACTCCGAAAATTCCATTTACCTCTATGTATAACATTGAAAAAGATGCTTTCATTCCAAGACTTTCCAAACTATCCTACCTCGAATGTTCCCAGCAATAATACCATCTATCTGACCTCAAGGTGACTCCTATCTGGAATACGTCATTGATGTTTGTCTACTCGCTTGAATCAGCGGATCCTTCACGTATATAAAGATAGGAATGGATATGTTTTCGCTAGTAAAAAATGCATCATTTAACATTCGCTCTAGAGGATCGGTCAAATGCGTCCAAATCAAGGCAACGAGACAGCCATTAAAAGATAAATAGCTAGCATCAATCTATGTACAGTAATTGTGGTCCACTCACAATTCCTCAAATTCAAAGAACATTTTCACATTTCCAAAATGTATCCTTCGAGAATAAGCTGGAATATAAAATTGTACCCTGTATTATAGAAATGTGTTCTTCGTTTGGCCAGATGTTGCCAAATGTACGTGAATACCGTTCTGTGTGATGCCAATAAACTGCTTGCTTTCATTATCCTCTCATTGTCATTTGTGTTTGTTTTCACAACAATGATACACTGACTCAAAGTGCACATAAACACTATCATGGACATATAATTCTATAGTGTGATATTTATGCATCATATGGTGAGAGTATTGCTGAATGTGACGTGAAACGACAGTGTGATATTTATGCATCATATGGTGAGAGTATTGCTGAATGTGACGTGAAACGACAGTGTGATATGTATGCATCATAGAGTGAGAGTATTGCTGAATGTGACGTGAAACGACAGTGTGATATGTATGCATCATATGGTGAGAGTATTGCTGAATGTGACGTGAAACGACAGTGTGATGTTTATGCATCATAGAGTGAGAGTATTGCTGAATGTGACGTGAAACGACAGTGTGATATGTATGCATCATATGGTGTGAGTATTGCTAAATGTGACGTGAAACGACAGTGTGATGTTTATGCATCATATGGTGAGAGTATTGCTGAATGTGACGTGAAACGACAGTGTGATACTTATGCATCATATGGTGAGAGTATTGCTGAATGTGACGTGAAACGACAGTGTGATATGTATGTATCATATGGTGAGAGTATTGCTGAATGTGACGTGAAACGACAGTGTGATATTTATGCATCATATGGTGAGAGTATTGCTGAAAGGACGTAAAACGACAGTGTGATATGTATGCATCATATGGTGAGAGTATTGCTGAATGTGACGTGAAACGACAGTGTGATATTTATGCATCATTGAGTGTGAGTATTGCTGATTGTGACGTGAAACGACAGTGTGATATTTATGCATCATAGAGTGAGAGTATTGCTGAATGTGACGTGAAACGACAGTGTGATATTTATGCATCATACGGGGAGAGTATTGCTGAATGTGACGTGAAACGACAGTGTGATATTTATGCATCATATGGTGAGAGTATTGCTGAATATGATGAGTAAAGTAACTGAAACGGACGTAAAATATTCACAACCCGTTTCTAAGAGCGGCTTCAAATGCTCTTCTGTAGAGTTATGAGGTGAGGTGAAATGGGGTTTAGCGTTGCATTCAAGAGTGTGTGTGTGTGTGTGTGTGTGTGTGTGTGTGTGTGTGTGTGTGTGTGTGTGTGTGTGTGTGTGTGTGTGTGTGTGTGTGTGTGTGTGTGTAGTGTGTGTGTGTGTGTGTGTGTGTGTGTGTGTGTGTGTGTGTGTGTGTGTGTGTGTGTGTGTGTGTGTGTGTGTGTGTGTCTGCAATAGCCCTTGGCAGGCTGTACTTGCCCTGGGCAGGATGTATCGACCCTCGACAGGTTGTATCGACCCTGGGCAGGCTATATCGACCCTGGACAGGATGTATCGGCCGTCGACAGGATGTATCGACCCGAGGCAGGCTATATCGACCCTCGGCAGGATGTATCGGCCCTAGGCAGGATGTATCGGCCGTCGACAGGATGTATCGACCCGAGGCAGGCTATATCGACCCTCGGCAGGATGTATCGGCCCTAGGCAGGATGTATCGGCCGTCGACAGGATGTATCGACCCTGGGCAGGCTATATCGACCCTGGGCAGGCTATATCGACCCTGGGCAGGATGTATCGGCCCTAGGCAGGATGTATCGGCCGTCGACAGGATGTATCGACCCTGGGCAGGCTATATCGACCCTGGGCAGGCTATATCGACCCTCGGCAGGATGTATCGGCCCTAGGCAGGATGTATCGGCCGTCGACAGGATGTATCTACCCTAGGCAGGATGTATCGACCCTAGGCAGGATGTATCACCTTCGGCAGTATGTAACGGCCCTTGTCAGGATGTATCGACCCTCGGCAGGCTATATCGACCCGAGGCAGGATGTATCGCCCCTAGGCAGGCTGTATCGACCCTAGGCAGGCTGTATCGACCCTAGGCAGGATGTATCGACCCTCGGCAGGATGTATCTACCCTAGGCAGGCTGTATCGACCCTAGGCAGGATGTATCTGCCATCGGCAGGATATATCTGCCCTAGGCAGGATGTATCGACCCTAGGCAGGATGTTTCTGCCATCGGCAGGATGTATCTGCCATCGGCAGGCTGTATCGGCCCTAGGCAGGATGTATCGACCCTGGGCAGCATGTATCGGCCCTCGGCAGGCTCTATCGGCCCTAGGCAGGCTGTATCGGCCCTAGGCAGGCTATATCGACCCTCGGCAGGATGTATCGGCCGTCGACAGGCTGTATTGGCTCAAGGAAGGATATATCGACCCTCAGATGGCTGTATCGACCCTCGGCTGGCTGTATCGGCCATCAGCTGGCTGTATCGGGCCTCTGCTGGCTGTATCGGGCCTCGGCTAGCTGTATTGGCCCTCAGTTGGCTGTATCGACCCTCGGCTGGCTGTATCGGCCATCAGCTGGCTGTATCGGGCCTCGGCTAGCTGTATCGGGCCTCGGCTAGCTGTATTGGCCCTCAGTTGGCTGTATTGGCCCTCGACTGGCTGTATCGGGCCTCGGCTAGCTGTATTGGCCATCAGCTGGCTGTATCGGGCCTCGGCTAGCTGTATCGGGCCTCGGCTAGCTGTATTGGCCCTCAGTTGGCTGTATTGGCCCTCAGTTGGCTGTATCGGGCCTCGGCTAGCTGTATTGGCCCTCAGTTGGCTGTATCGGCCATCAGCTGGCTGTATCGGGCCTCGGCTGGCTGTATTGGCCCTCGGCTGGCTGTATCGGCCATCAGCTGGCTGTATTGGCCCTCGGCTGGCTGTATCGGCCTTCAGCTCGCTGTATTGGCCCTCGGCTGGATGTATCGGGCCTCGGCTAGCTGTATTGGTCCTCGGCTGGCTGTATCGGCCTTCAGCTCGCTGTCTTGGCCCTCGGCTGGCTGTATCGGCCCTCAGTTGGCTGTATCGGCCCTCAGTTGGCTGTATCGGCCCTCAGTTGGCTGTATCGGCCTCAGTGGGCTGTATCGGGCCTCAGCTGGCTGTATCGGCCTTCAGCTGGCTGTATTTGCTCTCGGCTGGCCGTATTGGCCCTCAGCTGGCTGTATTTGCCCACGGCTGGCCGTATTGGCCTTTGGCCCGCTGTATCGGCCCTCGGCTGGCCGTATTGGCCTTTGGCCCGTTGTATCGGCCCTTGACAGGATGTATTGGTGATAGTATACAGTGGGCTGTCACGCGCTACACGACAATGCGGCTTTCAAATTACTTGATCTGTAGAGATTGAGTTTTCCGATGTAGATGTCGAAAATGAAAGTGTAGAAGATGTTGGAGGGCAAAGGAGAGGGGGTTTTGGTTACATAACAATAGCCAATGACTGATGAAGAAGCGTGTCATGCATGTCTGTGTGGGGAGGCACCATTCAGATGTGAAGGCTATTTCTTGCTGAGTCAGCAAAATTGGCATATTTGTTTGGTGTTTCGATATACATGTGAAATATGTATACCTTCTCATGCTGATTTATACCTACTTATTTTCACAGGGTAAAAGTTACATATGTAGTCTGTCAAAAGTATCCATGTTTCAAAGAATGTAATCCGAATACAAACAGTTCCTTTGTCTTGTCCAAACAAACTAGTGTGCTTGTTGTGTCCAATGATTGATTTTGATTTAAATATTTAAATGTCTGTACAATGTCTGAGGCAGCTGGAGGTATGTGCACGTGTTAAAACTATATTATGTAAGACGATCTTCAACTCTATATATTACATGTTGTCTCTCTCGACCGGAGACCAGCCTCCCGGAGACGTTACACACTAAGTAGAAACGTTAATGGCACTGGCATTTCGCAAGTCATTTCTGATTGTGGTGGCAGTCACGAAATGATGAGGTCTTGCTGCTATCAGAAGACACCTCTATTCCTGCTGTGTGGTGGAACGCTGTCGACCATCGGTCTGTCACTGGGGAGATGAATCAAACGTCTAGAATATATTCCATTCCCTGCTGATCACACTTTGGCTGACATCAAATACGTTCGCAACTTGACGTTGTGTTGGCCCAGGTCTAAGCATGGCTATGTATTGACCTAATTCTTTGATAGTCAAACGGCGTCAGCAGACTCAGGAATATTCCAGCTATATGACGGCTGTCTGTATATAATCGAGTCTGCACCAAACAATCCAGTGACTGATATCATGAGCATCGATCCACGCAATTTGGATCGATGACATGCTTCAAACAAGTCAGCGAGTCTGACCACCCGTTCACGTTAGTCGCCTCTTACTACAAACATTGTCGCCTTTTACGGCAAGCATGGGTTGCTGAAGACCTGTTCTACCCAGATCGTCACGGGTCCGGCGTCTTCGGACGCTGAGGGGGCATAAGTGCATTCATTATCAACACCTACGTTATTTCAATATCGGAATCAATTTCACACACAACTGTACATAATATTAATCTATTTTACATGTAGACGACAGCTGCAAGGGCAAATAAAAAACAGTGACGTCTAACTTGAAGGCTTAAAACCAAGACATTACATAATTTTACATCAGATGCTATCAATCAATACTCATATTGTAAACAACCACTGTTGTGGAAACAAAGTCAAAATAGTTGCGAAACCGTAAGTTCTTAGCATTCTTGTGCGAGACCTTGTCCTAACGCCATGTGGACAATCTTGTGTGAAGATGTGTGTGATGAGCAGCAGGCCGTTGTCGTGGGCCACACAATGCCAACAAACGTGATCAATTGTCAGTCAGATCACCATTCAAAATGGGAGTATCTGACAAAAACTTAAACGTAAAAAAATCCCCAAAACACATTCATCATGTCCATAACTCTCAGCAGTGTTTGGATGTTTGGTGTTTGGATGGTTGTCAAGGGAAGACGTGCCACTCTTCAGTGAGGCATTGCCGAGTTCCTTTTCAGTTGCTGGAAGGAAATGGTGTCGTGAGAGGGCTATCTGCAGCTCGTTCTGCATATGATCGATACGATTGAGGTCTGATGAGCAGGCGGGCCACTCCATGAGGACAAATGTCTCCTGTTATAAGAAGGGACCACGATGTGGTAGTGCGTTATCGTCCATGATGATGAAGTGCGGTCTGATTGTACCAGCATACGGTC